CCCACAATGGTAAGAAATCCATTGGACCTCTCCAATATATTATTTTAATAAAATTTAATTATTTATGTAATTATTAAATTATTAAAAAATAATTCAACTAATAAATGTATGACAAGTAAGCATGAAAGTTTCTTAAGATATGAGAATCGGTTCTTATTATACAAACTGTATCTCTCTCTCCTCTCTTATTATTATTTTCATTTATTTAATTGTAAGATACTCTCCTAAATACTAGCATTGGAGTTTATCTAAAGACGTCATATTGAAATAAAGTTTAGCCTTTGTAGATAGCACTATGAACAGAGACATGTGCAGATTCAATCCTTATGGAACGGGAGGAGTATATTCTAATGTTTTTTCCCTAATATGATGTACCATTTACTACATGTGAATTGAATTCATTAATGAAGGTGTATTATGTGTATACTAATATACTAAACATATGATATGTGTTTAACCTGTAGTAAATTTACTGTAAATTGTTAGTGAGAGTATTAGTTTTTGAGGATTAAAAAGATTACAAAGATTAATCTAAGGACTATTTAAGGATTTAAAAGGCAATATACAAATGTGTTACATATTAGAAATTGATTTATGAAATTGGGTGTTCATATTATAATGATGGCGTCATTTTGCAAGAAAACAATCTTTGTATTTCTATTCAAAGTAAAGAGGAGTCATGTCCTATTATACTGATGGGGTCATATTCTCCTACATTGAGTAAGGAGGATTTATGGAGTTATGTCTCATGTGCATGTGGAAAATTTTAGAAATGCTTTATATATAACCAGGGCCATCGTATACTCGTATTTATAAATAACTCGAATATGAAGATTAAAAACCCTCGTTTTACGATTATTAACAAAAATGTATATCTCATTTGCATATTTTCCAATTGGTATTTTCGGATTCGACCTCGAATCTCTCTATTGACCCATAATTACTTAATCGTGTTTTTGGTCTGAGAACCTAAAAACCACACACCCTCTACCCTCTTCTATTCCGGTAAGTATTTCTCCCTCTCCCTCTCAGTCTTCTTTTTGTTTTTTCATAGCATACATCAGGGTTGTTTTGAGAGAAATTTTGGTTGATTCAATGGCAATTACTGAGTGCACAAAGCGTTCGGTAAAATGCCAAAGAGAAAGAAAGGTTTTAGCAGTAATGGTTTTATCCAAAAAGATTCAACCTTCTTAAGTGAACCGAGTTTGTTTAGCAAGTGCATTTGTTTGTGAGTGTTCAAACTATTGATGCATGTTCTTGGTTGTGCTAATCTGGATGGAACCTTTGTTTTTGTTTGTGAGTGTTCAAATTATTGCCGAAATTAGTGTCTATAAATGTCAAAGTACCAAAATAGAGTTTGGTTTTGTTTTTATAGTGAGAGACATATAAAAATAATTTTATCTTTCATATTTATTTATGATACATTTTTAAAAAAAACGGAAACGTATCCTTCCAAAACGGAATCGCAAACCTCCAACATGTTTTTAAAGGGGGGTTTTCGGAAGCGCCATGGAAGCGAGCTTCCGAAATCTTCTGAGAGATTTCGATTCCGACTCTGATTCCAAAACGGGAAACGGAATGTATGTTTGTATTGTGTATAGGGAACAATGGATGTGTTAGAGATCACTGAGTTGGAATCGAGCTTCCGAAATCGGCATCGAACCGTAGTCTTCATCGAACTTGATCTTCTTTGGGACTGGCTGAGTATTTCCAACCTGAAGTAGCAATGCAGAACATGCGTTTATTAGTTATTACTAGTTCAGTTCTTGAAATGTAAATGTAATGTAGATCCTCTTATAAATGCACAAAATGCATAAGGAAATTTAGCATAATGTCCCCATATAAACTTTATAAACAAACACACCTTTCCTTAATTGCAAAAAAAAAAAAAGACCTTAATAAAATACGTGAAAATTATATTTAAAAATTAAACCCTAGATTTAACCATAGCTCTCAACGGATTCTTCATCACCACCGTAAACTCCAATTTGCCGGCGAAATCAATCTCACTTCCCGGTGGATAAGCACACCACTCAAACTCTTGAACCATCCTCGCAAGCATCAAGTACACGTGTACGGTCGCCATTGCAAGCCCTGGACAAATCCTACGTCCAACACCAAACGGAATCATCTTCACTCCACTAATCCCGGTTATATCAGCATTTTCCTTACCCAGCATAAACCGGTCCGGATCAAACTTCTTCGGGTTAACCCAAATATTCGGATCCTCATTAATACCCGGAATATAAACCTCGACGTTTACGCCTGCCGGAATATCGTATCCGGCGAGCTTCGTCGTCTCCATCACGGCGTGCGTCAGTGAAAAATAAGTCGGTGGATGTTTCCGAAGAAGCTCTTTAACAAAAGCTTGTAAAAAGACCATTTTATCCACGTCTCTCTCCTCGATTCTCCGATCGCCGGCGACCGATTTGATCTCATCGTAGAGACGAGATTGAATCTCCGGATTGGCTATCAACTGCGCGATTCCCCACTCGATCGCCGTCCCCGTCGTGTCAGTCCCTCCGTTAAGAAATTCCGAGCAGAGAGTCACGAGCTCTTCGTTAGACGGCGTCGATTTACGACCTTCTACTTTTAAGTCAAAAAGCGTATCTAAGTAAGAGAAAAACGACGCCGTTTTATCGGATCCTGGGTTTTGAATCGCTCTCTTTCGTCTCTCGATGAATCCGACGACGAAATCGACTTGCTCACGGCGGACTTGGAGAGCTCGTTTTCTTTCTTTAGAGAAGAACGGAGCGAGAATCGGAAGGTAATCGTCGATTCGTGGATCTACAGTCATCAACACAGTTTTCAAAATCTCATCCATTTTCTCGATCGATTCTTCATTCATTTCGATTCCGAAACACATCTCCAACAAAATACAAAACGCAGCGAATCTTGCGTTTTTGAGAACCCAGATTAACCCGTCGTGTTGTTCAGATTCCGATTTGATCCTCTCGATGAGTTTATCCATGGCGGATTTTCTAACCGACCCGAATTCTTTGAGCCGGGTCGAGCTAAGCATGTTCTGAACCATGTTTCTTCTTAGAGATCTCCAAACCGGACCGTATTTGGCGGCGTTTACGGTGAATTTATCGCAGCTGAAGATTGTTCGGGTCGGATTCTCGGCGGGTCGAGAAGCGAACAGAGCTCCTCGCTGGATTAAAGCTTCGTGGACTAGATTTGCGTCGGAGATGATGATCATTGTTCGAGTACCCATTCTCAGTGTGAAAATCGGACCGTATGTTTTCTTTAATTCTTCTGCGTATTCGAAAAACGGTTTACCGGAGCGAGCGAATTGGAATAGGTTTCCGACCACCGGCCAACCATGCGGACCTGGAGGAAGGTTTAAACGTTTCTTCGTCTTCGAAGTCCATCGGATGAGAAGGAAAACGAAACCGGAGAAGATGATCACGAAGAAGGTAAGATCAAGACAAGTTGGAACGAAGGAAATGAGTGACATTTTTTTTTAGCTCTCTTTTGTGAATTGAGTAG